TCACAGTAATTTAGCATACTAACCCTGATCATGGCCATAGGGGGCTCCAGTCCCAATACAAAGAGGTAGGCCTTGTTCTCCGCAAGCATCCTGTGGGCAAGAATAAAATAAAGAAATATCTTGATTGTTTTATAATCTAAGGTTTCATTATTGTATACTTATAACCCTAATTGTTTGATGTGTGTATTGTCATCTTTAAAGTTCTTAAAAAGATATAAGGTGAAATTCATATCCAGGATTTAGATCTATTTTTACCATTTTTTTAAGTTGAACACTTGATAAAATGTATGATATGATAAATGATAGCAGTAACTAATTGAAAATATTGCAAGTCCTTAATGAATAAGGTTAAAAATGCCTTCATGCGATCAAAATACCAGGATAGATACAGAACTTTGTAAGGATTCCTATTTTGTACAAGATTGATAAAATAAGATTACATGGGAGCCTTTAAGCTTGAGCAACTCAAATCAAAACATCAAAACAATTTTTCATAAATCTTATACCAAAATGAAAATAAGTTTAAGCTACAGTTTGGAAAGCAAGAAACATCACTCTAAAACCAAAGTACGCTTGTTCAATTCCAATGTAAAAACCATACTCTAATATGGAGCTGAGACTTGGAAAACAACAAAAAAAATGTTTCAAAAACTTCAAGTCTTCATCAACAACCGTCTCAGGCGCATCCTTAACATCAGACGGCCTGAGAAGATATCAAACTAAGATCTGTGGGAAAAGACCAACCAATCCCCAGTTGATGAAAAGTTGAAAAAGAGAAAGTGGAGGTGGATAGGGCACACACTGAGGAAGCCAAATAACAGCATTACAAGGCAAGCCTTACAGTGGAACCCACAAGGAGAGCGTGGCAGGGGCAGACCAAGATACACCTGGAGAAGAAACGTTGCAGCCGAGATGGAGAAAGAAGGGTACAAGTGGCATGATCTGTAGAGGCTAGCAAAAAACAAAACAAGGTGGAGGAATATCGTTAGTGGCCTATGCTCCACCAAGGGGTAACAGGATTAAGCAGACAGTTTTTAACCATATCAAAGACACAAATTAGGCACGAACCATACTTTATTCAAGACATCTAGAAAATTTGATATATGTTTGTAGTCTACAACAACAGGTTCAAAAATTGTTGTAGTAGGGGACAAACATGAGACTATTCACTGAAATTTTACATTGAAGAGACTTGATACAAGGACTTTCATATTACCCTTCACGTTTCTCTTTAACAATCTTGAGTTTGAAGTCGATTGAGTTTTGATCGGGTGGTTTCCACTTGAGCACCTCCATGCATCGGCCAGCACAGTAGGGCTGTAAAGTAAGTAGACAGGATGGTACATTTATTTTCTGTTATTACAGTCAGACATGGAAAAACACTGCCAAACATGGCAAATTATTTACTATAGTCAAAGTCAGACATAGAAAATCAATGTCTGCCATCATCAAAGCCAGTCCTGGAAAATTATTGTCTGTCATCGCTGGCAGTCCTGGAAAATTATTGTCTGTCATGACAGGCAGACATGTCACTTTTACAGTACCCCTAACTTTAATTTGACATGTAATTTGTTATGACTGGGATAGAAACGTACATCTGGTACAGGCTGGAAGACTAGTCCATCCACTTCATGGCTGACTTGTTTTGAGAAATGGCCGTCTAATATCTGAAGGAAAGAAAAATCATAGATTGAATGTAATTAGATCAATAGTATTCCACTATGATATCTGGCAAAGAAGTCACTGTGAAGAGTAGGTTTAGGAAAGGCGAGGTCCCTAATATACACAGCATACATGGATTCTTGGTCAAGCAGATATTTTATCTTTTTTCTTTATACAAGGAGAGTCAATGAATTACAACAGTGATTAAACTTGGACTAAGAATTGTGAAATCATAATTCACATAAGCTAGATGGACATCATTTGAAACCATCACTGACTTTAGCCCTTGAAGAAGGGCAGGAGGTCGACATATTGGGACTGAGAGTGACAATTGTTTTATCATTCATCTCCATGGAAATCATATGTTGTTTATCATCAATTCAACACTTCACCAATTGGTATTTTCATATCATATATATATATATATAAAAACAAATAGAAAACAAGAGGCCCAAAGGGCCTGTATCGCTCACCTGGATATCAAAAGTAATCATAGCAAAATATTCTTCAAATAAGATCCAAGGGAATGGGCCAGACCAAAAGGCCCATCCTTGTATCATATCTGTATTAGATTTTTCATGCCCAGCAATTTTATGTATGGTTATGGGGTGGAGATCTCAACTGTTTCCAAGCTGTGACTCAGAAACTAGGTCCCTAGGGTTGTGGCCAGATCCCAGGATCAATTATAATATCATAACTGCATTTGTCTCTTTATGCCCAGCATTTGTATATACAGTTACGAGGTGGGGATCTCAACTATTTCAAAGTTATGACCCAGGGGTTAAGTCTGCGAGGGTGGGGCAGACCCTGGGGTCAATTATAATATCATGACTGCAACGGGGCTGCTGTTCAAGTGTTTGCCTACCTACCTTTCTGCACACGGAAACATCCCAGAAAGGTTTGGCCCTCACACTAAACGGCTCCTTGTTCTTGTCTAATTTTCCTTGAGCCATTTTTGCGTAACGTGGCCCAATGATTTCCTTTTCAATGCAGTGTAACCGGGTACTAAAACTAGTTTTTCCGACCTCGTTTCCCTAAAATTACGAAAATACAAAGTTCAGCATTAGCCTCCCATTTTGCCGAAGTTTTCCTTGAAAAAGAAATTTGCAGGTAGCTATAAACGTGATTAAACTCGGAAATGAAAATAATGAAAAAATATGTAACAAAGGATGTAACAATATTGTGAAAGATCGAGCTTTTAAAATGTTTACCCAGAATTTTCCGTGTATATTATATCATTACATCTTTTGTGTAAGCTGAGCTGCAGATCATATTGTGTGATGAAGAGCCTCCATTCCACACTACCAGACTACGATGTTGACTGATCTTTTAGTTAGGGTCCGTTTTGTCAAAAGTCAAGTATCTTTTTGTAATGAGGTAAATATAGCAATATTTTTTCATTCGGAAGAGTTAGTCTTCATTTTTTCTTCATTTTGAAAAAATGAAGCATTTATTTTTGCTAAGAGAAGCAGCCTGTATTTTGATGTAAAACTTGGCTAAAGAAATAATGATCATATTATAGAGAAAATTGAACCTCAACAAAATGTCAGCATTGTACAACATAAAACACAGAAGTAATAGCATTTCTTTGTCAGAGCTATTCCAGGTTAAAGATGGGGATTAACATTCATATTAAGATGTATGCCAGGGGTGTAGCTACCCCATGCTCTGTGTGGATTCATTTAGGAGCCGGTCAAGAAGAGGGCTCTGGTAGGGGGACTGGGGAGCCAGATGAGCCCCCCACCGCTGGCGGATAAATAAATTTCAAGATCTATCTGTCTCAGAATCTTTTTCAAGAGGGTAAATCACTCAAAGTAATTGCAAAACTAAGACATTCTAAAATAAAATCATGTTTTCAATTATATTTTATATCAGCATACATAATTTCTTATTCAGCATGCTACAAGCTGTGTTTTTGTTTTTGTTGTTTTTTCTCGAACATTTAGTAGATTCACTTGCATACCAGGGTAAATGCAGCTTTATGCGCCTGTATGCAAAAATTGAGGATGTGGTTTGATTATAACACTTTTTTAATATATTTTTTTATTATAAAGCTTGGCGGTCCCTTTCAAATAAAACAGAGAATAGGTTTTTAAATCGATCATCCAGATGACTAAGATAATACTTTCAATCTTACCTCGAATCTCACAATATCATACACAAGATATCTAGGGAAGGTCCTGCCATCAATCTTATCCAGTATCATCTCCTGATTGAAAAACACAAAATAAAATCAGCACTGCACCAAAAAAACGAAAATAAATTGATACTCATATTGAGACTTTTCTTTCAAATTTGCCCCCCCCCCCCCTCTCCAAAGCCCCCCAACAAACAATTATTTCAAACCGATACAGCAGCAGTGTTCTAACATCATGAATTAAACAACAAATTTTAGTCTGATGAAGGTTACAGAGTACATATCACTTGTCACCGAAATGTCACTAAAAATTCTACTGGTTGTGCTATAGATTGAACCTGTATACATTTTTAGTAAAACTTTTATTTGCATGAAATGTTTCATTTCAGAAATGAAAAGCTAAGATACAAAACAATTTGAGCGTGTTTAAGAAAGAAGTGATAGACAACTAATGGCAAAATGTAAAGCATAGTGGGAAAAGAATCACTGATGATCAGGGTTCCACAGTTCCAGAATAAAGATACACTAGTACTGTTTACTACAGCACTGGGAGATATGGGATCAGCGCCATGATATAGTTTAACACTTACCCCGTCTAGCAGGGTATCTTTAATGCTACCGTTTGGATCCTTTCTGCGCGGAAACTCTAGATTTGGTACGTGAAACACTGTATTGTCTCTGTCGAACATGAAAACTTCGTTCTTGCCATCAATCAGCATCATGTACCTGTAATTATCAGCAGGTTGGAAACATTTTATAACAGCTGTTGTATACATAGTAAAAACATTACATGTGAAATTAATACCCAACAACGCTGTAAGAAAATTGACCTAAAATACTGTATTAATAGCCTGCTTTCAACCTATCAGACTATACTATCTTCCTATGAATTAAGCGAGGTCCCAACAAATGTTAGAACAGAGATTGTAGTCCCCCAACATATGAATAAAGCAAAACCCTGGATTTTTATTTTATTTTCGAAGACTATTACTTAATATTTCAAAATAAATTCTAAATAACATTGAAGAATGCTGGTAACTCTAGACCTGCTTCCTAAGTTACGTTGCATACCTTGCACCATCAGCCTTCCAGCTGACTTTGTAGGGTTTCTTCTGGACAAATGCAAGATTCTTGATATCCATGGAAACAGGCTGTGAACCAGGAAAGCCGGTGCTGAAAGTATAATCATGGCACAATGTCAGCAAACTATCACATTTATATGATACTCCATGTGACATCATCACCATTATGATATTATCATATTACTGTATTTTATCTGTGATAAGCCCATGCCTGGTAATAAGCCCCCCCCCCCCACCCACACACACACACACTTTTCCTTACTCTCCATGCATAGAGTGGGTGTCCCTTCAAATAATCTCACCCCCTTTCTTCAAGTTTGTTGGCATATAAAAATTGCATTTTTTTTATTTTCGTCATGCAATACAAGTTAAGTTAGTTATACCCAGCAGGCTGTGTCGGAACACAAGTTAATTATACCCAGTAGGCTGTGTCGGAACACAAGTTAATTATACCCAGCAGGCTGTGTCGGAACACTTCCTGGTGATGTAAGGATTCGGTCTTTGAATCCTTGTAGTAGTTCAATTTTCCAAGACAAATGTGAATTATGTAGGATCTTATATTGGTTTTCATTTCAAATGAGGTTGGAAGAAACAAGCCTAAACATTTTCATTTCAGCAAAGCTAAACAGAAGTAAAAGTACCTGTTCCAGCCACACATGAGCTGGCAGCGTCGCTGAACCTCGGCCAGTTTGGGCTGTATACGGAGCTGAGACACCCCGTTCACGCCCTCCATAAACTTGGCATCCTGTAACACAAGTTTAAATCATCAAACACAGAAACCATTTAACCCTTTCAACACCATAGACCATAATGGACTCATCCATATCAATGCATGGTAGAGTTTACTTAAGTTACAGAGGGGTGAAAGGGTTAAGGGTCCCTGTCCCACTGCACGCAAAACACCAGAGAATTTATCGTACAAACAATAACCTTCCCTTCGTTTCGCTGAAGAGCAACTGGGCATACACAATTCTGGTGACTAGGCGGCTCAGTGGGGTAGGGCATCAGTATTTGGTTGGTTTGGTTTGTTTGTGTTTTATGCCTATTGACAGCTATATGGTCATTTAAGGTTTGGTGGTGGAGGAAAGCCGAAGTTCCCGAAGAAAAACTACCGACCTACGGCCAGTACCTGGCGTGTGCCCCGCATAGGCCTCGAACCGGCGACCCAATTGTGGAGGGCTAGTGGAAGCAGAATGTCAGATACCTTAACCACTTAGCCACCGCGGCCCCTTTAGGGCATCAGTACAAAAGTGGTTCAGTTAATTAGGGCATCAGTATAATAATCTGAGGTCCATGATTCGAATCCTGGCCTGGCCCCATTCTATTTTAACACTTGGAATACTGTTACTTTTTCTTATCTTTTTCATTTTTTCATAAAAGGCTTGCAAGGTAAACTGTTCTTTTCAGGAAGGCTTTATCAATTGAAAGCTATTGTCAAGCTGGAAAATCTTTGGAAAGCATTGTTATAGTTCAGTTGTTGGCAGTGGTACAGGGATCCTTAGACAATCAAGCTATGTTATCATAGCTCAGTACTTAAACCTGATTCATTCACCCCTGAAGACACATTAGAATTCTTCCAAATCAAAGGTTGGACTAGCTCATTATGAAATGTTAGGGGTGAATGAGTTAATTGTTTAAGCACACACATTATATATGTATTATACAAAATTTCTCTTCTCATGGTTTTCAATTGAATGTGTTGAATAAACAGATAAAAGATACAATCAAAGTCAAGATTTTGTACTTGTTTTTCTCTCTCAAACCAAACAGAAGCAATATTTAAGACTAAGGATTTACAAAATTTATTAAATGGACTATGAAAAATAAAACAAAATCTGATGCAACACGTATTGAGATGTAAGAAAATTCTAACCAGCGAAATGTATTTACAATATAAACTATGCATGCTCTACCTTTTTGACGAATTCTCTCCGCCTCCCTTTATATCCTCCACCTTGATCTGCCGACTTCTCGCCATTTATAGCATTTCCATCATCATCCTGTTCTTCCGACTCTGCAAAAATAATGTATATGTAGTCATATTGTGTGGGTTATTAAAACAAATGTCTTATCCATTGAAAAGAATAAGTTATAAATTATAGTTGCTGTTGCTTTTCTTTAAAGATTTTTTGTTTTTGAGGTGTGTGAAGGAGGGGGGGGGGGGGGACATGAAAATAATTTTCTAAACATAAAAATTTGGATGAAATTCAACCAGCATTGGCCCTAATTATGGTAATCTTATTATAGTCATCATATTTTCCAAGGCATATAGTTGCAACAGAATGAGATATCAAAGTATGTTTAGAATGCACAAGTCTTCATCACATTGTTCTAACTTCTCCATCTGTGAGATTGTTATCATGGTTTGACATTGGGATACTTTCCCTATACATTATATAACAGTTTAAGCTGCGTGCTCCTGTACCTTACCATTTGACTATCGTGGCAGTTTGTGAGTGGTCCTACTCACAGTTTTCCTATATCACAAGGGTTCAAATTCATGTTTCTGTGTTTTACAATCATTTAAAAATATACAAATAAAATAAATATACAACATTTCATATAGCGCCCTATCTAGCTAACATAAGCCACTCTAAAGTGCTTTACAGTACATAGATATACAATTGTATACAGTCAATACAATTAGCATATATATTAATCAATACAATATTGAGGAATTTGCAGGAGCTGCCTTATCAGGCGCTAACTACTAGTCCTATGCCACCTGGCTTATATCTCCCTATGTGTGTGTGCTGGAGATGTATTGTGTTCTGTTTGTAGTGGGACCGTGCTTCCAATGGTATCATTTATAGTGCCACCTCACTTGAATGCTACAGCACAGATACCGCAACACCCACCCCAGACCATTTTATACTCCACCTTGGTTGATGGAGTTGTGTGGGTAGGAGAAAAACACTTTCTCTAATATTCCATGCGTACGGCGACTTCGGGGATCGAACCCCGGCCGCCTGCTTGGAAGGCCGGAATGTTACACCTACCTTGTAGCTTGGGGGTGGGGCATGGCCCCTTTCTCCCAGTTGAATTGAATTTATACCACAGTTAAAGGTGCATCTTACCATCACACCAGTCAGGAAGGGCGGGGGCAGGGGGCGTGTCTTCCTTCTCTCCGTAACGAGTAAACAGCTCCTCCAGGTAGTCCTGTTTATATATTCCAGGTGGCCTTGACTAGAAAAAATATATACATAATGATAAATTAGGTAAAGATTTTTCGAATAAATTTAAGTTTCAGAATCCCTTTTTAAAATCTGTCATCTATTTTTCCCCATGAAACTGTACATTTTCAACAAGTATGGTATGGTATGGTTTGGTATTATAATAGATTTTACATAATCATTTATAATCAAGATCAATTAGAAAAAATCCTGAACACATAAGAACGATGTGTAACTATGTGTAACTTACAAGCATATTATAATGATTATATACAGGTACCCATCTCTTCTACAAAATAAATTGAGGTTTCTCTGTATAATTTACAGTCGGTTTTTATTGTACACCATTAACTCATGGACCATTTCTAAACAAAACCATGACTCTTTTATCGCAAAAAAAAATTACCACTTATCATATCTATTTTAAAATCTAACAGTGATCATAGAAGTCACGGTTGTCGATGTCAGATCATATTAACTGATCTTAAACAAGCCATTCGGATTGATGTGTCTTGCCTATGCCCCGCTTTGACCATCAATGCACATATCAGAGAAACCAACTTAAATGCAAAAACTTTATGTTGATGGAGATGCTGACAAAGTCAATCGACCATGAAAGGTAGGCGGCATCTAGCATTTGATGCATTGGTTGAGATGTTCTACCGAAGATGCACACATGGTCTAAGTTTGGTTTGTATAGCACATATACTTTCAGAGAATTTAACTTAATCACAAAAAACTAAATGTTGACGCCGTCGCCTGAAAAGCAACACCTTAGTCTCGCTTCCACTTCGTGGCGGTGAGACACAAATTATGTAGCTTATATTATAGTCACTACTATTTTAAAGAACTGTTCATAATTTCTTTAACAAACGTATCTTCCTCATACATCTCTTTCAGTGTTGAATTGTCCCCTGCTTACCTGGGAGAATGTGTGTATCGCTGCCTCTATACTGTAATGGGGAAAAAACAACAGTTTAAACAAAAACAGCAAATTGTGCAGAACATTTGATTCTTATTTCAGTTGAACATTAATAGCATAACTAATTCAATGGTTTGTAAACTCAATTTTTCAAAATATATTTTAAGATATATAAATGTCTAAATTTTTATTTTCATGGCATGTCATTAATATTTTTAAACAATATAGTATTTTAAGGGGAAAATACCAGAGAAATCAATGTATATTTGCTTTAAATTTTCTACAAATCTAGATTCTGTTACTCAAAAATCAAAAATAATTGTACTTAACATTTATAGATAGCATTGAACTAATTCAAATGATGAATACAGCTGATTGTGTTTAGGTTATGTGGTAGGAACATACAATCTGACTCAGTTCATATCCTTCATTCAGCCACTTTATAATGCTGTAGGATTTGACGCTACAGTGACAGAGGATGTTTCATGTCATACAAGTAAGCTTACATATAGGATCTTAAATGAGTTTCCATTTCATATGAGATATATTAAACGAGTCTTAAGAATTTTTCAATTTAGCGAGCCTCTGGCAAGCTAAAATGAAAAATTCATGACGAGTTTCATAAATTTCATATGAAATGAAAACGAGTGAAAGATCCTTTTTATCACATAACCAAGATTTGTGGCATATATTCACATAAAAAGACAATTTTCATGCAACAATGAAATGTAAAAAGTCACCATTTTGACTCCAGTGTGTAAGTCTGTGACGTCATGTACTTGTACTACGTGTGACCCCACTATTGAAACTTACAACCAATCACAGGGCTGATAGGTCATATTACATGTGTTAATACGTAAAAAGAATATGACATGGGTATACTCACTGGATTACACAGTACATTATACGATAAATATATATTCTTGTGTTTTCAAATTATTAGAGTTTGAAATATCTTCTAGAGCAAACATTTGGTTGGTTGATAGAAGGAGATCTGACCTCCATGACAGTTTTTCCACCAGGTAAGCACTGATGAGGAAGCCGGTTCTGTTGAAGCCATGGGTACAGTGCACACCTGTAGGAAACACAATCCAATAAGGGCTTTCACCTGGCTCTTGACATTTAGCAGCTTAAGAGGTCAAACTAAAGAAACTGTGAGATATAAACTCTGCTTTATTCTATCTATCTATGTATTCAAAGTTGGTTTGCATAGGATATCATTATACCCCAATCCAAAATCCCTTCCTCCTTGCACAGCTACATATAAAGTTCTTTTCCAAGAATCGAACAAATCCAACATTTTGCTTAGGAGGAGCTGCCCTTACTAGGTTTTTGGAAAAGAAATGAAGTTTCATGGGCCAATACTCCACGAAATATAATGAAATTGCAAATTTATTTCTTCGTGCACAATAACATCTGGTGCACTTTCACTGTGCCATGTTATCAAAAACAATCTACCAAACAGTTTAGAAGGAAATTTGCTTTCACTGTGCTAAGTAACAAACAAATCTAACAAATGGTTTACAAGTCTTCTGGTATCTTACCAATGATTTCCAATGGTTTCTGGCAGATAAAATGGTGGCACAGATTATTGAAAGCATCCACTTGTTCACTGGCAGGTGTTTCTCCATGACTGCAAAAGTCAAGTTTACATCAATTGATATCCCCACTTTCAGAACATGTATTAGATGTAGTGTTTTGTAACCTCCTGAACTCATTCACCCCTTAAATTTCATAATGAACTATTCTAACCTTTGAATTGAAGGAGTTTGAATGTGTTTTCAGGGATGAATGAAGTAATTGTGCACAACTCAGTCTGAGACATGGTAACATGTATACATGACAAATCTTGTTGGAATCGACCAATTAGTAGGGCAGATACTGCACGAAACTAAGCAGCCAATCGCATGTTTGTAATCTCATTAAATATGCATAAATATCCACAGATCACATAATTTACAATCAAACACAGAAGGCGACATGTAGGTATATAGTGAATTTTGTTGAAATTGACCCATTCTTAGGGTAGTTATTACACAGAAACAAATCAGCCAATCACAAGTTTGTAACCTCATTAGTATGCGTTAATATACACAGATCATGATCACATTCAGAATCAAATTCATCCTAAATCATGTTAAATGTTAATATGTATGTTCATATAAAATTTGGTTGACGTCAGACCTTTTTAGGACAGTAATTATATAATTGAATTGAAATTGAAATGTTACAGACGGACAGGCCCTAATTAACATTTCCCGTTTTCTTCGAAAGGTGGGGGATAAAAACCACAACTATTCATAGAAGGGTTAAAAGAACAGATAAGATCATATGTAACCCAGAGATAATACACTTACCCCCGACACTGGAGTTTGATATATTTACAGTCATGAGTCTTCTCTATCACCTCCTTATCGTAGAATCTGGTAGTGTTTGTCAGATCTATCAGAAGGCCCATCTTCAGCTGCATAAATACAAATGTTTTCACGTTCAAGATTTGTCACCGTTTTCTATCCTTAGGATGTACATAAATTATCGACAGTTTCCGATTTAAAAGTTACTTTTTAGCAAAAGTGACCCACTGAATACTCTAGAGTTTCGGGAAAATCTATCTTAATACAAGATATAAACAAGGCATCACAAGTGATACAAATCCCCTCGCATTCACATTGTGTGACATATATATGAGGAAATGTATACAAATTTCAATGATGTAACAGTAACTGCTCCAGCGACTGCATTCTTCGATGGATAATAGATATTTATTCCATTGAAGAATGAAGTAGATAAAGCAATGACAAAGTTTTTCTAAAAATAGCAACAGTGACCTTTACCTTCCACGTAGAAACCCGAAACGCACACTTGTTTAAGGTATTGTCATATTGAACACCTGTATCAAGTTTCATGAAATTCCGTTAAGTAATGAAGTCGGTAGAGCGATGACAAAAAGTGCAATATACGTTCGGACTGATTTCGATATCCCCTCGAACTTTCGTTGAGAGGGGATAATAATTTAGGAGGAATATTTTGTAGACAAGACAAGTAGAAAATACATCCAATTAAGTTATGTTTTAAAGCGTAAAGTGAACTAACTTTCATGTTCTTTAAAGAGGCAAAGAGAAGATCTGGGTTGAATTGGCTGTATTCAGGTATCTCGTCGTCATATTTACTGTCCAGCATCGTCTTAAACGGTAGAAATTTTCCTGCAAAAGTTAATAAAATCATTAATTAATAACAAAATAATTCAGAGCCAACGTCTTGTGGTTGTATCGACGGGTTGATCAGTGGGGCGCTTCACTCTGAGAGTGGATACCAGAAGGTATGCAGTGCGATTGGTATCCAATATGTAGATATAATAGGCGGGGTTCCAATCACAACACAGCTCAGGCGTCACCACTTAGTGGGGTTTTATTGGCGTATTAGTCTGGACTCTTTAACCCTTCATTAAGAGTCAGACAGCTGCATAACTGCTGCCCGATTCCATACTATTATAACTGAAGTTTCACAAGAAATGCTTTGGCATTATAAGCATAATCCTGAATTGCCAAAAGTAACCCGAACAAGTACAGAACATATATAGTACACAGACACGTACGTACAGCTGTTAGAAAACACCACCATACCTTGAATAAGCATTCCTTTCCTCGGGCAGTTGACCCATCTTGGTGGAGGGCCACCAAACTTCTTATTCCTGTTCATGTTTGGGGTTTTATCTTCTATTGCACTGGTTCATCATGACCTGTAAAATAAAGGACATTTTTTTTAAATACAATGTACAAAATGCTGTATATCTTGCAGCTGGATTAAATTGCAAGGGCATGCGCTTCACATTTTTGAGTATTAATCTTTCTGTAGGCAGATACATGTTTCAACAAAAAACATCACTATAATATAGTAACTCCAAGTATAAAAACCTTACAAGCCCCATTATAAAATACAATAGCTCTGGTGTGGGGGTACTACCTGGAAATTTCACCCCTAGATTGCATTTTGTCAAAATTAATCAGTGATTTATCAACAACATTTTTACTATCAGTATTCCCCATTTTCACCTTCAGAATGAGTGAAAATTCCCATTTTGTTTCTTTAATTCTGTCCTGCTAATGAAAATTTCTATAAAAAGTGTGGTAACTTTTGAAAGTTGAATAAACTTCCATAATATTAAATTGAAATATTAATTACTCTTCTTTTTCCAACCTTTTATTTACCTCAATTAGATAGACTTACATCTTACTTCAGTGGCAACAACAAATAATTTTTAGTTTTTTTCACTTGCACAAAAGATGAATGGTAGGATCTATAGATATAGAAGCTACTGTCCCTATTTTTTATTCAACTTGTCTTATGGACTTGTTTTTTGGTGATCACTGAATGAATATGTGTTTTAGAAATACTCATTAATCTGATTTGTTTGATCAA